AGTACGGTAGTTTGCGGAAGTGTAGTCAACAAAATGGAAGATGGGGCGCCAGCTTGCAGAAACCAAGTAAGAATGATCCCTAATTTATAAATCTTTTAGCTTGAACTGAGTTTTCCGACAAGCACCTGAAGTTTTATGGATTCTTTATACTTCTCTTTCTTCAAATTGGAAGATCCAAAGCCATCAATATTGGCGAAAATAAGTGAAGATGAATCCAAAATCAGACAGTGCTCATAATTAACATTTTTTTTCACAAAAAGAATTATCGGGTTATTTTTCAAAATGCGACAGGCATGGCTTGGGGTAAAATGTGAAAACTTTGTTTCCAAAAAAATCTTGATCAATTATCTTCAAAACTAAAACGAATAGACAATTTTTAAGCACCTCACTGGTTAAAAGGGGGAAAGGTTAAAAAGTTCCTATTTCGTAAAATTCCACAATAAGCCGGCTACTAAGGGTTTTTAGCGGTCAAATTCAGCAAGAAAATTGCGAAAATCCGGTCTTTGAATGTTAACTTAAAAAAATATATTGAAAACTTCCCTCTAAAAGATTTTAGAAGAATTTTCCTCTCAAAATCGAAACTTGGTGAAATACGCCACTGTTTTCAGTGAACCCATTGTTCAAGTACTATGGTTCCGGTACCCGGAAACAGCAAAATCGTCAACAGAACGAAAATAATCGATTTAAGACAAAGGAGAAAGTGTTTAATATTGCAGGTTCTGAACAAATAAAGAGGTTGCATTTAAAAAACTGTCGCGAACCTATTGGGTGCCTATTAACAGACGCCTAAATACCTAAACATCGACAGAAACCAAAATTAAGGCAAATTCTACCAGACACTCTTGAAATTTACTTGTTTAGCATGTGGTACGAAAAAATAATGAGCCACTTGTCGAATATCGAAATGACACAGTGGAACCTGACACAGGTACATAACAATGGTATAATTTTAGTTGTTTTATAATTGGGATTGGTTCCAGGTGACCAGCCGACCATAATAATATGCCTGCCGGTGAAAATTCTTAGATGCACAACAGTAATGTTTGTTTAAACGAGGTTCAAAGCCAAATTGAATTTACGTTGGTCCGGTGTTTTTGCCGGTTGCTTTACCGCAAAAACTGTACATTTTCTGGCCAAGTGTCGAGAAAAAATACGGTTTTTGTTGGTCAAATGTTTGCTTTTGAATTTCTGGGTGTTCCGAAACGAATTCAAAATTTGCCGATTTTATTCTCGCAGTTTTACGCTAGTTGATTTTGAAAAAAACACGTCGGTAGACGCTGATTATCCAAACACTAAAAACAGGGAGGTACACGAAAACTTCCAAGTTTTATAGGTTCAGAAGTTCAGCTGCTTTATGCCAAAAGCACCAGATTTGTATGGAAGATTCAATTAAATAAAATATTTTTTTAGAAAGTGTAGTAAAAAGTGTTCATATCACAGTTGACCTTATTTGTACCCACAATGTGCGGGAAAATCGGTGACACGCAACAAAGCACTAAATTCGACAAGAATCCATTTCACTTTCTCACCAGAATTAACTTTTATTCATTAGGTATTTGGCTTCAGCTGGTTTTTTCTCCTTTGCCTCTAAAGAAGCTTTCATTCAAATCCCGGGACCATAAACTTATAGACTTGATGATTTTGAATAACTTTTTGTATTTGGTTTATTTTAGTAAGTCTTCTAGTAAATCTTGAATTGATTGATATTGAATTGATACTTCTAGGAAATTTAGACAAACAAAATGGGAAAAATTACCAACACTAATGAAATAGAAAATAAGACCCAGAAAAATCAAATAGTATACTTGTTGCAGTCCAACAAGCGACAGACCGCAAAAACATCACCTGTTCCACCCTAAGGTATATTTATAAACCATGACGTTAAGTTAAATAATTATCCCACGTATTCGTTCGCACACTTCGCCATTTTTGGTAGTGATACATAAAAATGATCCCAAATCTGAACATTTATTGAGCAAGCAATCAATATTTCAAAATGTGGCCTCCCAGCAGGACCATATGGTTTCTCCGAGCCGAACTATCTGCATTTTATATGTTATCAGCGACTTTTCTACATCCAATTAGCAATTGTTTTCAATTTGCATTGCAAATCGCCCCGATTAACTAACTGTTCGAGTGTAGGTTGGACGAAAAAAAAAACAAACTCGAACCTTTTTAGCATCGAATCTAAGTAGAATCAGCAGGGATCAATTGAATCTACTAGTTAGGAAATTTTGATCATTTAGAGCTCGTATAAGATACTCTCCAGATAGTAATTAGGCTCGATGCATCTTAATTAAGCTCCTGCAGACGGCAATTAACAAGTAGCCGGTTAACGGTTCTTTGGCGCATTGCTAAAAATAGTGTTGAATCATTCGTTTGGGACAATAAAGGTTTCCTTGCGAATTGTTATTAAAAATATGGCCAAGACTGTGAGGTTTCGCATCCTTTAATCACCGGTTCAGTGGGTTCTCCTCTTCTCAATGTTTCGCCTGTATTTGCAGCAGGTGTCCTCAAAAACGCAATGCCACGACATATAAAATAAAAAATGACTAAATTGTAACGAAATTAGTCGTTCAGTCGAAGGCAGCTAAAGAAAGACTGGAAAATATTTTTCACCGAAAATTATATTTTGCTACTTAAATAACCCTGCTGTATTTTCATTTCCAATCAATATTTTATTCCCACAGGTCAATAGACTGTATTTGACAGGTTCAAAATTACATGTCTCTAATGTCAGAACATCAATTAAGATTTGCAATAGACTCATGTCATTTGTCTGTAAATATATCTTTCTCCGTCATATAACTTCGATTTAAAAAAAATAAACGATGTTCAGGAGAATGTCAAAACCACACAACGCAAAACTGTCAAACTGACACTAAATCCAGACCCAATAATGCACATGTTTTGTAACAAAAATTAATGGAACTGTTGGTTTTGACTGTCATGGAGCATTTCAACTAAAATTCCTCTCACAAACTAGTTAGTAACAACTGAAAAATGTTGTTCTTTATTTCCTCACATCTTATGTCAATAAATGCATCCACCTCCGTCAAATATGCGCGATCAAAAAAGCAGAGACGATATCTAGATGAATGTCAAAGTCACAACAACTGTCAAACAGTCCACTCAAACAAACATCCGGCAACCTGACAAGGTGGGCTTATATCTGGCAAGCACAAAAGTCCACAGATCTTAAAATAATAAGTGGAAAAGTGAGATTTGAATTCAAAGATTTTGGACACTTCACTGGTTTTCGATTGGAAATAGCTTAAAATCAACCGAAAAAATGCTGACTCACTGGTATTTCAAAGGATATACGATGTCTAGGTGAGTGTCAAATGCACACGAGCTGTCAAACTGATAACGCAAACACTCATTTGTCAAACTGACAATGTAGACTTACCATTGTCAAGTTCAAAAATGCCTTTTTCATATAGGTTATATTGATAGGTTTTATAAGAGTGTCATGGAAAATTTTATAAGATTCTGGGCATGGCAACTTGAAAATCACCATTCGAATTTATTGGAAAGAACGCCACTTATCAATGAAGGTATCATTGTTCGTCATATACGTTCAAATAAAACAGGATAGACGATGTTTGGATAGCTATCAAAGCCACATGAGCTGTCAAACTGGCAACGCAAACACACATGTGTCAAACTGACAGAACAGACACCATTGTCCAACCCAAAAATTCACAAATAAAAGAAAATAAGTAGAAAGGTTGGATCTGATTAAAATGGGTTAAAATATTTCGTACAATACAACGCAAGCAACATCAAAGAAATTTATTTCAAAAAATAAATAACAAAGATTATCAAGCATTTACAACCCAGAAATCCGGAATCTCTTTACAAGCAAGCCAGTGAAACGCAATAACATTTACAAGAAAAAAACGAAAAAAATCCGTTCAAATCTACCAGTCCGACCTGACCTTTTCTCTTTGCCGTCTAGAAATGCCAACGATACCAAAAACGGTAAATACTATCTCTTGGTTAACTGGGAACGGCATACCATCGAATATTACGAAATCGAAAGTGACTCTATGGTAGACATCAGTTGGGGAGGTATTGTGGGCATACCGGTGAAATTAACGGCAATTTGGGTCATGTTGCGACCGAAATTACGTAACCAAGCTGACAAATCGATTTATCTACGCAAAATCTCCCCGTTTGGTAGTGTTGGAGCGGTTCTTCGGAACCAGAAGCTTCGAGGGCGCCACCTGACGGTGGTAAAGCGAAACGAGAGTTGAAAGTACTGGCAGTATTAGAGATTGTTGCAAAGTGGTGAAGGTGGAATTTTGGACAATGGTGGATTTACGAAGAGGTTATTTAATAATTAAAATAACGAATTTGGCGAAGAAAATTGATGTTTACTTAATTTAAGAATTCCTGTAAGTAACAAATATAAAAACATTGCAATCGCTTCTGATCTACCGGTCAAAAAAAGCATTTACATTATTTTTGCATTGCACAAGTAAATGGTGATGAGCTCGAAATATGTATAATCTTAAGAATAAAACGATGGTTATATAAGTAAGTCTTACCTTTCGGGTCTACCGAAATGTGTGCATTAAATATAGGGAAAAAACTATTAGGTGTGGCTCAAAAATGTACAGAGCAGAAGCAATTTAAACAAAATTAATTGACTAATTGTAAACTGTTTAGATAATGAGCCAAAAAGGTGCCAATCAGCGGACAAAATGACCAAATTAAAAACACCTGAAATGTCATAGCTGAAAATAAATTAAGCGATAAATAATGTATTTATGGTCGGGCCACAAACAAGACCAATTTCAGAATGTTGTCCGTCCTACATGAAAAAAACCGTGTACTTTGCACGTAATAAAACAACCAGTGGGCAGCAGTCAGTCAGTGGTTTGGGCGTTCATTCACAACCAACCACCTGGTTAACATCAATAAATTATATTGATTTAAACACTTGAAATTTGATCTAGTTCGGGGCGACAAGCCAAATCAAAGCGATCACTGACCTGGAAGTGCAAAATGATGGTCCATATCAATCCTAAGGTCAGCTTAGGGTTTCCATCGACGATATCTTCCGATCGGATATTGACTAGTTTTACGTTTTTGCAACGTAAAAAGTGAAGAGCAGTGTCGATGTTGTGCAGCATATGGAAGCGCATCTGTCCTTTCTCTCTCGGCTGAAATGCACATAAATCATTTAAATTAAACTTCCCCGCTCACTTTTCATGGGACTTACGAGTTGTTCGCCAGTTAACACCTCCAAGAGTGAAATTAAGTTGTGCCCATCGCGCAGGTCTTCGAAAAGGTCTCGGATGTTGCGCCGCGCCTGCAAAAAAACAAAAAAAAATCAATTAGAAACTGAAAATGATGTGCTAGAAATAAGAATAAAACTCTACAAGTTTTCAAAAGCCTATCTAAGGTGCGATAAGAACGACAGACAATGAAAACACGCTCAAACATGCAAAACAACACAACAAACACTGGATCCACTTACAGGGGGGCAACAGGGACTGTTGTTGATAAAGACACAGACATGAAGACACGTGTACGTCTGGAAATGTTAGAAAATTGTTGATTTTAGGGATAATTTTTGAAAGAAAAAATACAATAGTGTTTTTTTCTTTAGCCACTAGACGAGGTTATGTCGAATGTAAATGGAATTGAGTTTTTAAATATTTAGTCTTTCTTCTTCACGACAATGTCAGGCGTCATTTAACAAAAATTACACAAATTGTGCTGGGAAACGTTGGCATATCCTCCCTACAGTACAGACTTGTCACATTTGGACTTTTTTGGACCGCTTCCAAGCGCTTCTTTCAAGTGTTCATTCAGACATCTTTCAGCGGCTTGATGACGACTGGAGGCAGAAGACATTGCGCCACAGTGGCTGCATAAATGTCCGAAGAGTTTCTATTATGACGGGAATAAAAAGATCTCAATCGACCAGAAAAAATGAAGTTCTAGGGCGGTAGATTATGTATTTTTTTTAAATTTTGCAAAAAATGTAACATACGACCACAATTAAGAAAATAAATATATTCCGTTTATATTTGATTTATCCTCGTAACAGTGTTATTTTAGGAAGTTGCTATTCGTTTTACTGTATTTGCACAGCTGAAGTCAATCGTATTGAAATGAATTGAATGTTTATGGATTTGTATAAATTGCTATTTGAAGTCGAAGAAAATTGATTTATTGGGCTAATAGAACTATTTTCCTGTTCTTCCGATTAGATATCGGCAACTTAAAGATATGCGAATATTTCGTATATGCTCTTTCTCGAATGAGCCCTAAAAACTCGACTCTTTTCCATTCGATCTTTTGAGATTTTAATGAAAAATAAGGCTGAGAAGAAACAAAAATCGATGGTTCTACTAACAGGAAAGTTTCACACTGATTATTTCATTTTCCCCTCATTTTTGGCAAATCTGGGAAGAAAGTGAAAGCGAAAATGCGAGTTTATATAATATTTTTTCTTTGATTAATGAAAATGAAGCAGGTCCTTCATATACGAAAGGTCAAAGAATTAGGCCCGGAAAATAGTATATAACTCATGAAACTTTTGTCCCTTAAATTTTTATTTGAGTACTTTCGTGTCAATAATGTACTTTCTTTTTTTTCATTGGTGCTTTCGAACTCCAAACAGTTCCAGTGGCGTAGAAGTTAGAGAAAAAAACGCGTCGGATGCCTTCAAATCTCCACTACTGGAACGTTCATTGAATTCGAGTAGGATGCAAAAAAGGAACTATTAATAGTGGTAATATGTGTGGAAGAGCTCACTCCTGTAGTCCACAACGATTCCTCACATATTGGCAAATTAATAACATTATTTTTTTACACATACAAGCACATAGAGAAAAATGGAGAAAGTTTTTGTCATAAAGAATCTACAGTTTTTCATTGCGACAGTTAGAAACATCGCGCATAAAATATTGTTTTCTTCCATTCGTTGGAGTTGGAGAACATGTTGACAAATGCGAAAAATGCGACAGAAATAACTAGACAAATTTGTATTGTCATGTACGTATTTCGAACAAAAGTTCATGTATCATGTTCATTAAACATGTAGACAAGACTTTTTTGCATTATTAAGATGTCTGGAATAGGAAATGCTTTTGAAGTACAAGCTTAATAGGGTAAATATAAAAATAAGTAAAAAATCCTTTGCCGATTTTAATTGAAATTTCAGTATATGGCTAGTTAAACTAGGCATCTTTTGAAAGATAAATATCACCTGTAAATGGATTAAAAGAATCGCATGAACGAAAAAAAGATCCATTTTTAGTTGCCTGGCCTAAGGCAGTTCTAAAATTGGAATAAAACTACCAAGTGTATTTTTTATGCAATAAAGTAACCATTTGCCCCGTCATAGCAACATGCCGTGAACTTTTCAAACAATTCGGCTAAAACGCGATTTTCAGATATTAAAAAAAAATCAGTTTATTTCCCTCATTTTAACATGTAGGTGGTACATATTTCTAAAATGCTTCGATGTCGTTTTATTTACTGAACATTCAATTTTCAAATTAACTTTGTCGACTAGTCCTTGTGGGGTTTTTATTTCTATTTATATTTATTTTTTCCTAAACACGGTCATGATTAATAACTTTTTAGTTTGCAAATCAAGCAGTAACTCAGCAAAAGCTGCGAAAGTGTTCTCCATTCTTCTCAACTATCATTATTCAAATTGAATAACTATTAAATAAACTTAAAGAGAGATTAATCTTAGTACTCAAACTAGGGAATTTTTCGTTGTCGAAAAACTCAGCAGTTTTAAGCATTTGCTGCGAAAGCCACACTTTTTTTGGGTTGAAGGTCTGTTCGTTTTAACTCGACAGTCTCAAACATCTCAACTTTTTACCCTCATTATGTATGCTTTTTCATAAAGTGATATTAATGATAGCAATAATTTCCAGCTAATAAGGGACCGTTTAAACGATCTCAACGCCGACTGAAAGATCCTTGAGTAGTTATCTTGGAAATTTGAAATTTCCCTTATTTGGTTACGGCCGCATAGTTTGCCATGGTAGCTTGTCCGCATCTAGTTTTACACATTAATTTACCGACATATCTAATATCGCGCACTAATTATGCACCGAAATTGGTCATGCATAAGATTCCACATAAACTATGCGATTTTCTTTGTTTTCGGTCCTTGCTGGGGCTCCGATAAGGCAACGCGATTTTTTCCAACGGCATTTCAATCGTGACCGTATAGAATAAGAATGGAGGATTCTCAACTATGCCAGCTGGGCTTAAATGGGATAAAATCTCCGTTTAATGACAAATTAATGTGTCAGATATTGTCACGAAGAATGGCGATTGCTTCGCTGGCTGCTTATAAGGGCTTCGACAATTACAAATATGTTTGTTGGGATTTGCGATTTTCAAGTCAAGGCGCTTGGCTCCATAAAACGGTGTCTTCATGAATGATTCCGCTCGTCAAGTCAAATGCGTTGATCAGTTGAGGCATGAAACGTCCAAAAACAAGTACAATTAATCGGCATTATTCGTAATTGGCTGATTGAAAGGGGGCGAGCTGTTTACAGCTTCATGCTCGTTAGGGAATTTACTGTTTGTCTTTAAATGTTAAAAGGTTGTTGGGTTTTTCTTCTCACGGCTATTTGCTACGAGTATATTTGATTTTATTGGAAATGCGATGAAGGCACTACATACAGTCAAATCAGATCAGAAGCAAACGAAACGATCGGGCAGGTTTGAAGGGTTAAATCTCTTCATTCTTCTGAGTTTTCCCAATTTTTCCATTTCGGTTAAAAACTTGCTAGCTTTCCTTGGCGTTTGGCATAAATTTGCGTTGTTTTTCTTGGTTGGCAAATCTGCATTTCTTCAAGGAAAATAAATCTATATGAGACGCAAAACCGTTGGGAAAAAGGCAAATTCAGACGCAAATATTTACGCGAAATCTTTATGACCCAAAAAGCGGCCTTAAACGGATTCGTTAATTAACAGGAAATTTTGAATAAATACTTCGTCAATAAAATGAGCGGAAATGTTCGTCAAAAACACTAAAACACAAAAGCGATTGAAAATAAAATTACAATTCGCGATTACATAAATCACAATAGGAAATAACGGGTGGAGATCTAAACTGAAGAAAACGGTCCTGCAGATCTGGAAGCCTGAGCCTCTCCAGTTTTCTGACTTTTTTCAATTTAATTTTACACTAAGAACATACTGAAATCAATGCTGTAAAATGGATGTCTTTCCAAGGATTTCTTCCTTATTTTTTTGTTTGGCTGGCAAAGCGTCACTTTTCCAAGGAAAATAAATCCAGATGTTCCCTATGAGACGCAAAACCGTTGGCGAAAAAATGTTTACAAAAAAGGCAAATTCAGAGGCAAATATTTACGCGAAAGCTTTATAACCCAAAATGAACCATTCACGGCGTTCAACGGATTCGTTAATTAGCAAGATACTTTGTTGAAATTCTTCGTTAAAAAAATGGGGGAAATATTCTTAAAAACACAAAGACGAGTGAAAATTAAATTAAAATGCGCCATTGCATAAATCACAAGAAGAAAAAACGGGTTGACATCTGAATTAAACGAAACCGTCTGGCAAGCCTGGAGGCTTGAATCTCTTCAGTCTTCTGATTTTTTCCAATTTTATATTTTATTCTAAGAACCTACTGAAATCAATGCGATCTGGCTATTTTCTCCAGGGTTCTTTTCCTTGTTGTTTGGCAAAAATACTAAACGCTTATTTCCGTTTATGTGTAGCAGAACGGAACTTTTTCAAAGAAAATAAATCCAGATGTTTCGCACGAGACACAAAGCCGTTGGGAAAAAAGTGTATACAAAAATGGCAAATATTTACGCGAAAGCGTAATGACCCAAAAGAAACCATTCACGGGCCATAAACGGATTCGTTAATTAGCAGGAAATTTCGCAGAAATTCTTCAGCAAAGAAAATGAACGGAAATGTTCGCCAAAAACACAAAGACGATTAATCATGGAGATTCAGCTCCAAAAAAACGCTTTTAAAAGACATCGATTTTACACAACTTTTTAGAAATTGAAAAACTTCATAGTGCAGCAAGGCAATGTAAAATCCACTTTAACCATGATTTATTTCGCTCAATTCAAGTACACTTTGAAATAAATGCTCTAAATTGCGACTAAGGCCAACCTCCATTGATTCCAGGTAGGCAAGCAGTAAATGTCCCAAGCAATGACAAACTTTTCACGCTCTTATGATTTACTTTCCTTTACTGTATGCCAATGATTCATAACTCATTAGGTTTTGCATTGATGAAATTAATTAATCTTATAAATATTTATAGCGCCAATAGCTCATATGAATGGTCGCTAAACCATACAAGGCGCACCAGGACAGTTAGTTTTTTTCATATCCTTGTTGTGTTTTAATTAGTGAACAACTGATTTTATCCTTTAAAGGTGATTTCTGTTGAATTTATCGGAAATTTCGAAAATAGGGTAATTATAACCTTTGTTTAGTGGCTAAATGCGGTTACTTTAAACAGTCTTCAGTCGGTTACCGATGTCCAGATGCTCAAGCATCATTACAAGCGTCTCACCCAACATTAATCACAATTTACGGGTTGTCAAAATAATAACTCAAAAAAGCACACAAAACTAGTCTCTACTAGTGATTTATTGTCGATTGGACAAGTCGAAATTCCCAGATTTTTTTATCCAGCAAGTTCACCGCAAACAACATGATTCCTCGGTCTGTCCGTTAACTTTTTGCCGTCTTCGAACCATCCAACCGTTAATTACCTTCTTATTAATCATCTGTTAAATAAAATTGAAAATTTTAATCATTAATAGTCATATTTTCCTGATGTTTTTTGATTTGATGCTTGGAATGGGCTAAACAAAACCCCATTAAGAATGGCATTTCTTGTAAGAAAGACGCCAGAATATTCAGCGTGATAATCATAATCTTTACTTACGATGGACATTAAAGATCGTCGACCTGAAGTAACAAAGTGTCACGATTCATGTTCCAATAATTGCGTCTTATGACCCACATCCGGATTTTTAAAAAATGACAATAAACAGTGTGGTTTGTGTTAAAACGCCATCGATTATTGTTTCTTTATGCCAAGCTATTGATAAACAAACGTTAGTTATGGCTTGGAAATGCGGATAAAAGTTATTGTTTTGCTTTCGGCGTTTTTCACAGAAAATTTTTAATGTTTAGGTTTAGCAATCTTATGGAAGATTTTCACGAAATTAGAAAGTTGTCAATTGCTGGCTTACCATTAACCATAGAGGAAAAGTGAACACCCCGTTGTTGTGGAGGTTTTATAGATATTCTCAGTTGTTTGGAAATTGCATTGTCTCAAAAACAATAAGGAACAAAAAATGTAAAATTTTCTATTAGATGAAGCTCGAACAGCTCGAGATTTGTAAAAATCAGCTTTTTTCGATAGGAGATTTAGTTTTCGAAGAAAAACTGTGGCAAAAACGAAGGAAATTTAAAGTTGTGATTAACATTTTTCGCTAAAAATTGTTCAATTTTATTTCAAACAATTCTCACAGGCGGTCAGATATGGAAACGTTATACAAAACAAATTGACTTTTCTTCCCTCTATGAGTTACCGAAGGAGAACGAAAAATTTTGTCCATCATCATACATAACTTTTTTTTCTTTTCTTTTTCAACTTTTCAACATAACAAACATCGATAAATTTGATACCAATCCACTTAAATGATTACGTAATACGAGGAATTGATGATGGATGAATTATAATTCAACAGAAATACTGCCAAAGAATGTGGTTAACGATTTTTGGATACAAAAATTATAAACAATAATTAGCCGAATGGAAAAATTTTTCTACTTTTTTCGATTTTTCCTCGCTTTGGTGGAAAGAAAAATGATCTTGAAAATTGAATTCAAGTAAAAGTTGGAAAAAAATTGTTTTTAATATGAATAATCCAAATTTGAGTTAGAACTTTAATATTTGGATACATGCTTATTTCAAAAACGATTAAATTTAGTGTGTTGACTATTTTTGCTAAACAGTCCATTTTTTTTATGAATAAAAAATATTTAAGTACTTTTATTGTCTTGAGAGCATAATCTCGAATGAGTTCTACTCGTCCATTATTCCTTTAGAATAATTAACACTTTCAAGCCCTGAATATATTTGCAATTCTACCATTTCGATTTATTCGCCTTTATGTTCCATTCAGTTCAACCTATTTACGAGTCAAGTTTCGCTTTTTCAAATTTGGTAGACAAAAAGACACTCAAGCAGAGACATTTTGCTGCGGTTGTCTCAAATGTTTCTTCAAATACAGTTTGACAATTTCACGCCAACAAAATGTCCTTTAATGAGGATATACATATATCCTTGTTCAAACTAAAAAAAGGATCTGAACTGCAGGCTTCAGCGTGAGTTTTTGGAAGCTGATAACTTAGAAAACCGTCCGGACCATTGTGCATAAAAATGGACCGATTTCAATTGCAATTTTCCTTTCACCTACATTTGCCATAAACTTACAAAACGTTATTTTCCTCCTTCCAGCTGTAAGGAATTTCCAAAAAAATTTAAATCATTACTTTCAAATTAAAAGTTGAACTTATCTTGGATTAACAAAATTATTTCTTCATTTAATCATAGTTGCAATAAAGCGCGACCCGACAGGTTACGATTAAAAATTACTTTCGAATTAAAGGAACCAATTTTCTTTAGCTTTTGAATTGTTGAAAAAGCCAAAATTCTTTAGTTTTAGCACGTTTTAGAAAATACCGTCACCTACCTTCAGATATCTCCAATGCTGCATTAACAAAAAATTACACATTTAATTTGGGTACAAATGCAAATAAAAACATCAATAAATTAGTAATATGACGATTTAAATAACACATGAGAAAACACGATAAAATGTGCCAAATAAAACTCTTCCACGTTGAAACTCATGAAAGATTCAATTAACAGTTCTAATTATTCACTAATCTAATAAATCACTGTTTGACGATTTTCTTTTATTCAACTGTATCTTGAATGCACAATTATTTTATTGTATGTGAGAGCCGCCAGACTTCAGTTAACTCTCAAACCTTTCAAATTGAAGAGAAACTTTTGGTGCCACTGCTTGAAACTTATGAGTTTCAGACGGTCGATTCTTTCCAATAAGAAACGGAAAGTTGAGTTTCTGCGAATTTTCAGATCACTTACTTATTACTCAAGTCTAACAACGATCATTTAAAATCTGCAAAATTCGATGCTTTTTTAAACTTTAAGTCGTTTTCTAGTCGGTGATTGTGGTTTTTTAGTGGCTGCTCTTCTTATTAGTCTTGACTAACAATAGAGAGACTTGGGCTTCTGCAAATTTTCAGATGACACCAAAAAAATCCCAGAAGTTCAAGTCTGTTATTTGCATCAGTCATTTAAAATTTGCAAAGTTTGCTTTTCTAAACTTCAAGTCGTTTTCTAGTCGGTGATCGATCGGTATTTACTTGGGTTTCTGCAAATTTTCAGATGAGACAAGATACAGTTCGTAGAAAACAAAGTCTTTTATTTAGTCAAGAACAATAAAGATCATTTAAAATGTGTAAAACTCGATACTCGTTTGAACCCGCCGAGACTAATGAGAAGAAAAGCCATTAAAATTCACAAGCTTGCACTTAAATCTACTTAAAATTTAAAAAAAGCAACTAATTTTGCAAATTATAAATGATCGTTGCCAATTTCTTCTTCAATCTTTAAAAAAATACCTAGAAGTCACCTTTATGGTTGCCGCGTTAAATTATCATCCAGCCGGATAACATCTCGTCATGTTTAAACGATTCTTTGAAATATATGTTAATTGCAATTTGCACTTGCAATCCGATATGCACGAATCGGATTCCTACCGTAAATTGCGACCTGCAATAAATCAGCAATCGTTACGTTTCGAACCTGACATTTCTATCATGGTTTCCACACATTTTGCAACGAAAATATCGATTGTTTATAATTTTTATTATTAATAATGATAGTAACAGTGCCCGCGGCTAATTTTGCATGTTCAGAGCAATTGATTGCTTAATGACTGACTGGCTATGATCATGATTAACGTTGATGATAAGCAAGTTTTTTTCAGTTAAATGCTTCAATATTTTCGTTAACAAATTGAAGCAACGGTAGAAGTTGGGCTGCAATGTAATTGGAGAAATATGAGTAAAGTTCACATTTGGTTACTGAGTTGCTAATTGGCGCTAATTTTTCCCGTTAGGATGAGTGTATAATTTAGCGGTCACTTTTACGCAATTTGAAATAAATTGGAAAATGCAACATTTAGTCGAAAGCGAACGACAACAAATAAAAACAAAGACGAAAAAAGTTCGCTGATGAACTTCTCCAAAGAAAACCTCACTAAATACACCTTAAAACGCCTCTAGTGAAAATGTCAACATGTTCATCTACACAACTCTATTAAACATTTCCCAATACACCTCGATCTCTTGGGCAAAATCGACTTCAATTAGCATTCAACCGCTCCTTCAGCAAGACCAGCCGAGGACCAAATTAACATTTCTTCATCGTTATCAATTCCCACCATGAATCATTCTTTGGCTTGCTCAAACCTCTTCCACAACAAGACGATTGGTAGGTGTTGCATTGCCGATTGTTTACGTATGAATCAGCCATCGTCATCTGAATCACTTGGGAGAGAATGCGTTTTGACTTTTTATGGTCAATTGCATTGTTTGCAGAGTACAACACCCGTCACCTCGTCACATATCACGTACTTTTGTGGGCAACGAATTGATTTACTTTACAAAATGATGATTATTGACAACACGAATCAACGCTTCATTTGGTTACAATGAAGGAGAGAATGTGAAGAATTAATTTTTTTGGCGTTTTCTACATGTAATTAGTCACTATTGATCTAAGCAAATTAATCACAATTGAACATTCTACGAGTTTTCTCTAAGCTTAAAGCATAATTGGCACATTTGTATGGATTACACCGTTTTAATCGGTTAATTTGAAGCTGACTGGGATCAGCTTTCGCATGAATTTCCGTTTGAAAATAGGCCACAAATAAATGGAAAACTATGTAAGAGATTTAGGGTTTTCTCATTGACACCATAAACCGTGACACGCAAATTACTACGACAATAATAAAAGTAATGCGATATAATTGCCATATTGTTACGGGCAAAATGAGTTGTGGGAAACAAGTTCGTGTTTCCTTGCAAGCGTTGTTATCATGCTTCAAGGCGGTGTCCTTAGAATTAATCAAAGTGATTAGCCTAATTTGGAAGATTGCGCAAAAATGTCGGTTCAATTGCAGTAATTGCGTGAAAAGCAACTGAAATGAAAATCACACATTCGAAAAAGATTTAAAAACTGCGATTCTAATTGACAAGAATCAAGTAATTTTTATATTAAACTCCAATATTTGCTCCAAAAAAACCCATAAGTCATAAGTATTTAGTCTGTAGTATTAAATAATTATCATGTGATCTGTTAGTTTGAACAGACTCATATACGTTTGTATTGTTTGTTAAAAAGCCTACTTAATATCTGTAGATAGATTGTAGAGATATTGGGATGTTAGATAAAAAAAAATATATTTGCTGACAAAATCAGGAAAAGCAGCGACCGAAAGATCCAAACAGTCAAAAGCGCAAATGATGGGATTTTGCAACTATATACTTATACAAAAAAAACGAAATGCAAATTGGTGCCCTTGGGACTAAAGGTTTTACATCTGAAAAAAAATTATACTTCACTTACACAGCAAATATACTAAAATCGAAAAATGTGAAAGTAACATTCTGAGCTCCGTATGCTTTGACGATCCTTCCAGGAAAATGAAAAAATCTTATTAATCCTGACGAGTTTTCACTATTTTGCAAGCTATTCGTTTGAGAATAATGAGAATAAATAAAATGTGTCTCGGTATTTACTAATTTATATTACGAAAAAAAAATGTTTAAAAACAGCCTTAATTAATTATATAATTTGAATGGAATTTGATTGAATTCAGGGCACTTAATTACTGTAGACTTAAGTGTTTGATGCATTAGGAAACAAATTGGGTTTCAAGCATCGAATTAACTATTGCCTAAATATTGCGTTTGGCTTAACACGATCAAGGAAGAGTTTCCTTATTTTGCATAACATTGAAATCCACTTAGTCTGGCTCATTTTCACCAAAATTGC